GTTGGTGTAGCCACTAAGGGAAGAGGGAAGGGAGGGGGGGGGGGGGGGGGGCTTGCCTAATACAGGCTGTGTATTACATGAATATAAAACAAAACTTTAATTTCAGTTGGACATATCATAGTCCAGAAAGAGTAAGGAAATAAGATTGGCGTAGCCATGAGGAAAAGGGGGAGGAGGCCACCCCCTAATACCAGTAATACCCTACTACCGGTATAATTTCAGTCCGATGTTTCATAGTCGAGAAAGAGTAGGGAAATGTGATTCACATAGCCAGGGGGTAAGGGGGTGGGGGGGGGGGGGTCGCCTAATACAGGCTCTGTATTAAATAAAGGTAAAACAAAACTTTTAATTTCAGTCGGAAGTATCATAAACGGGAAATAGATAAATGCGATTGGCATAGCCATGAGGGGAAGAGGGAAGAGGATTTTTTCAAGGGGGGGGGGGGGGGTTTAACATTTTTAAATTGGACCAAAAATTTCGCAATGACTCAGCCAGCTAGCTGCTGAATAAGAGGGAGGGGGGGGGGGTAAGAGGACACTTTTTTTTGGTCTTGAAATTTGAAAATTTGACATTTGCTCCGTTGGGGGTGGGTAAGGTCACCTTTTTTAGGTCAGTCATTGCCATAATTTTAAAAAAAAAAAAAAAAAAAAGGGGGGGGGTTGCTAAAAAATACACATAGAAAATACAAAAGGGGGGGGGGTGGGGTTCAATCCCCAAACCCCCCCCCCCCTCTTGCGTACGCGCCTGCTGTAAACCAATATCAAAAAATGTATTTTTTCGCTTCGAGTTTGGTACCCTTTTTTCCCCCATAAATAAGTGCTTTCATGTTGCTCCCCCCCTCCTCAAAAGAAAGTTGACTTTAGATCATGCAAATGTCCTTGACAAATGTGTGTGTGTGTGTCCTGTCCGATCTGGGACTGCTATGATGAGCAGCTATAGTCTCAAATCCTGGTGGTATATTTCTACTGAGTTACTAAGAGTAAGACTATGTCTGGCTCCACTGCTGACGACCGCCGCAAAAGGGCGATATATTCCAGTTTACTCCAGACCGGCGGTTATTCCTGCCTGTACCCAGAGCGCAGTTTAGGCCATTTAAAAAAATATACATGTTTAAGCTTCCCCGCCCGCTTCCTTTTTGGGGGCCGCCTCCTATATTTTTTTTTTTTGATTTTTTTTTTGAAATTTTTTTTTTTAAAGAAAAAAAACATGAAAAACACTGCTAAAATGGCTCTATTTCTGATTAAAAAAAAAAAAAAATTGTCGGTGGCCATCTTGAAAAAAAATTGCCCCGACTGTCAGGGAAAATGTACCGAGCAGCCATTTTGAAAGAAAAAAAAAAGGGCCTCCTCCTTCCTATTTTTCGAAAAAATAGGACGCTGAACATGTTTGTTTTTTTATTTGGCCTTATAGTAGACCGAATTTTTCTGTCTCTTTCGTTCGTTGGCCTCCGATTTTAAGAAGGGTCGGTCCAAGTTTATAGCAGCTCATAACAACCACACATCTCACAAGATTCAAGCCATGCTTGGACAAGATTCCTGGAAGAGAACATCAACCAAACAGTAAACTCTCAATAGCTTTAGGACCACCAAAAAAAGTGAGAGCATCCAACCTAGATCGAGTCTATAGGGTTTAGAAAAGTAAACCAAGATTATAGGTATATAGACCAAGTTCACTTTTCATTTTAGAAACAGTTTGTTTTATATTAATTTTCTAAATACAAAATAGGCTAGCACAAATTTTTAAATGTTTTTTTCCTTCATTTATTTTGTAAAGAAAAAAACAAAATAACCAGAAAACCAGCCTCCACATGCACTAGCTGGCATTACAATGTTCATATTACTAACATTGATAATAAATGTATACTATCATGTAAATATACATACATACATATATACATATATACATGTAAATGATTGGTCAATAAAACAATAAATAACAATTTAATGGACATAAACACTCGGATACATGCGACAATGAAGTAGGCCTAGACAGAAAAAAAGTATAGCACCTTGGACTTGGTACACAGATGCTATGAATTTTTTTGCCGAATGAAAATGAAAATGGTTTTAATTGTGCTCAACTGAATGTCGTAATCATATTTTAAAACATTGAAGAAATAAAATACATATTACGCAAAAATAACATTCTTATTTTTGCTCTCAATGAAACTAGATTGGACGATAGAATTCAGGATACAAAAATTAAAATAACTTGTAATTTGATTCATATACGGACCGTAACGGGCAAGGAAATGGAGTTGCAATTTATGTCCACGAAAGTCTGAAAATTAAACTCACATAACATCTTTACAAAAATATATCAATAAAGTAAATGGATGTATACAGAATTTGCCAAATGGTGTTTAAAATTAAGTATAATGGAATAAAATTCTAGACCTTTTTATCTGAAAACATGTTTATACTGTAAGAACAGATGTTTGTTTTTATCACCATGCATTTTTTTTCTTCAATTGACATATATACTCTGAACTCATGGGCCTTGATCAAGTGATATAGTGTGCAGATGGTGTCAAGTTATCCAAATATGTTTTTAAAGGTGAATTCTACCCTGATATGAAGCTAGTTTTAATAGGAGCAGGAAAATGAAAGGAACAAGCCAGTGAAAGTTAATTCGATAACAAATCAGAATATGTACAAAATTTAAAAACAAGACAGAAATTTGTACTTTTCCTCAAGAAAAATTTCAGCCTGCTCATTATAATAAAAGCAATGTATAGCAAACATGTTTTTATACAACCCCTTTTATGGAAAAAATCTATTTTCATCTATATATATATATATACTGACATTTAAATGAAAGATAATGAACTTTTATATACAGAGTAAATGGGAGGGGAGCGCATAAATTATGCTACAGTGTTGCCAATTTGTGCTTGATTGATCACAACGTAAACAATTCTTTACCTTCTTATTTTTAATCAGAATTTGCTCAAACATACATGTAAATGATCGGTCAATAAAACAAATAACAATTTAATGGACATAAACACTCAGATACACGCGACAATGACAATAAAGTAGGCCTAGACAGAAAAAAAGTATAGCACCTTGGACTTGGTACAGAGATGCTATGAATTGTTTTGCCTAATGAAAATGAAAATGGTTTTAATTGTGCTCAACTGAATGTCGTAATCATATTTTAAAACATTGAGGAAATTAAATACATATTACACAAAATAACATTCTTATTTTTGCTCTCAATGAAACTAGATTGGACGATAGAATTCAGGATACAAAAATTAAAATAACTCATGATTTGATTCATATACGGACCGTAACGGGCAAGGAAGTGGAGTTGCAATTTATGTCCACGAAAGTATGAAAATTAAACTCACATAACATCTTTACAAAAATATATCAATAAAGTAAATGGATGTATACAGAATTTGCCAAATGGTGTTTAATAATTAAGTATAATGGAATAAAATTCTAGACCTTTTTATCTGAAAACATGTTTATACTGTAAGAACAGATGTTTGTTCTTATCACCATGCATTTTTTTTCTTCAATTGACAAATGTACTCTGAACTCATGGGCCTTGATCAAGTGATATAGTGTGCAGATGGTGTCAAGTTATCCAAATATGTTTTTAAAGGTGAATTCTACCCTGATATGAAGCTAGTTTTAATAGGAGCAGGAAAATGAAAGGAACAAGCCAGTGAAAGTTAATTCGATAACAAATCAGAATATGTACAAAATTTAATAACAAACAGAAATTTGTACTTTCCCTCAAGAAAATTTTCAGCCTGCTCGTTATAATAAAAGCAATGTATAGCAAACATGTTTTTATACAACCCCTTTTATGGAAAAAATCTATTGTCCTCTATATATATATACTGACATTTAAATAAAAGTTAATGAACTTTTATATACAGAGTAAATGAGAGGGGAGCTCATAAATTATGCTACAGTGTGCAATTTGTGCTTGATTGATCACAACGTATCTAATGAAATTAAAGATTATAATCATGATGCAATTAAGGAATACACATTTTCCAAATATAAAATGTAATTGGAGATATAGCAAAGATATTTCAAAGGAATTAAACAATAAATTTTCTAAATATAAGATTGCTCTCTTTATTCTGCAAAATGCAAACAAAGTAATCACATTAAAAAATACATTAAATTAACATTTTAACTACAAATGTTTTTCTTCCTTATTATTTGGCCTGAGGCCCATGGCAAGTAGTTCACTATAATGACAAATATAAGGAGCGGGAGGGACCAAAAAAGGGTTACCGGTAAACATAAAATATGGTCCCGCACAAAATCACTCCATTTGTGCCCCTCGTCGTGTTATAAGTACTGACAAAGTCTCGTCAGACTTAACACAGTTAATTAGCTTAAAAAGACAAGTCAAGGATGGGAGTCTTCATGTACAGGTTCCTTGAGTACACATTCCAATGTCAAATGCTTTTCAAGGAAACCGAAAATGCAGTCATTATAGACAGGTGGTCTTTCTATACATCTGCCTGGTATACTTTGGCATGATTCAAACTGGACTTTTCGCAGATCTGTGTAAATTATGTAATGCAAGATGATGACCAGTTTCAATATCTGAGCTGTGCAGCATCCATTTGGGGAAAAAAAAAGTAAAATTTAAACTCATCACTGTGTCAAAGGGACGTGTATGTGATCCACTGCATAGCAGATAGGGGAACGACTGCAAAGTGATACGAGTACCACATTAATGTAGCAGTAACAAGAGGGGGACCAAATGCGTGGTGGATACGTGGACCACTCCTTGGCACAATGGACCTCACTGCGTAGTGACAAAAGTACCGCAATAGGGATTTTTAGATTTGCAGCATCCATTTGAGAAAAAAAAGTAAAATTAACAATGGTAAGAGCAAAAGATCTGTCCTGGTGGAAGATTCCACCGAGAGGACAGAATATCAACTGGTCTAAGCCAGAATCCTGGTGCCTCATTAAGTTTAAACTCAGAGCTCCTTGGCCCTCATCACTGTGTCAAAGGGACGTGTATGTGATCCACTGCATAGCAGATAGGGGAACGACTGCAAAGTGATACGAGTACCACATTAATGTAGCAGTAAACAAGAGGGGGACCAAATGTGTGGTTGATTTTTTACCATGTATGATGTAATGAAAGCAAAATGTATCTAAGTAATCTGGGTGAATATGTTGTGTGTTATAAATGTCTGTATTATTTTCAATGTTTCTCTATTCATTTCCTCTTCAGCGATATCCAGCACCGCCGGATCAGGACAAGGTGCATGGCCAGAACGGCAAAAGGGCCCCAATGCTCTAGGAATGCTAAAGAACGGCTAGAATACCGGGACTATTGCCGGCAGCATTGTAAGTACTGACAAAGTCTCGTCAGACTTAACAGTTAATTAGCTTATAAAGACAATTAAGCAATTTAAAGGGAAACATTTGTATAAAGACCACTCAAGGCAGGCAGTCTTCATGTACAGGTTCCTTGAGTTCACATTCCAATGTCAAACGCTTTTCAAGGAAACCGAAAATGCGGTCATTATAGACACTTGGTCTTTCTATACAGGTGGTTGTATTACTCAAAATATATAGGGTCCTTGCCCTTCTTTGGGTAAAATGGATAATTCCCCTTCTTTGTTCGAGTGACATATACCACGTTTAAACAAAATATCAAAGCTGCTAACCATGAAGATACCGAAATCATTAAAAAAAGAATTTATAAAATATGAAAAAGAACCCCTATCAGGACTAAAAGAGCCCCCATAAGAATTCTGAAAATCTGCCTGGTATACTTTGGCATGATTCAAACTGGACTTTTCGCAAATCTGTGTAAATTATGTAATGCAAGATGATGACCAGTTTCAATATCTGAGCTGTGCAGCATCCATTTGGGAAAAAAAAGTAAAATTTAAACTCATCACTGTGTCAAAGGGACGTGTATGTGATCCACTGCATAGCAGATAGGGGAACGACTGCAAAGTGATACGAGTACCACATTAATGTAGCAGTAACAAGAGGGGGACCAAATGCGTGGTGGATACGTGGACCACTCCTTGGCACAATGGACCCCACTGCGTAGTGACAAAAGTGCCACAATAGGGATTTTTAGATTTGCAGCATCCATTTGAGAAAAAAAAGTAAAATTAATAATGGTAAGAGCAAAAGATCTGTCCTGGTGGAAAATTCCACCGGGAGGACAGCTAGAATATCAACTGGTCTAAGCCAGAATCCTGGTGCCTCATTAAGTTTAAACTCAGAGCTCCTTGGCCCTCATCACTGTGTCAAAGGGACGTGTATGTGATCCACTGCATAGCAGATAGGGGAACGACTGCAAAGTGATACGAGTACCACATTAATGTAGCAGTAAACAAGAGGAGGACCAATGAAAGCAAAATGTATCTAAGTAATCTAGGTGAATATGTTGTGAGTTATAAATGTCTGTATTATTTTCAATGTTTCTCCATTCATTTCCTCTTCAGCGATATCCAGCACCGCCGGATCAGGACAAGGTGCATGGCCAGAACGGCAAAAGGGCCCCAATGCTCGAGGAATGCTAAAGAACGGCTAGAATACCGGGACTATTGCCGGCTGCATCGTAAGTACTGACAAAGTCTCGTCAGACTTAACAGTTAATTAGCTTAAAAAGACAATTAAGCAATTTAAAGGGAAACATTTGTATAAAGACCACTCAAGGCAGGCAGTCTTCATGTACAGGTTCCTAGAATTCACATTCCAATGTCAAACGCTTTTCAAGGAAACCGAAAATGCGGTCATTATAGACAGTTGGTCTTTCTATACAGGTGGTTGTATTACTCAAAATATATAGGGTCCTTGCCCTTCTTTGGGTAAAATGGATAATTCCCCTTCTTTGTTCGAGTGACATATACCACGTTTAAACAAAATATCAAAGCTGCTAACCATGAAGATACCGAAATCATTAAAAAAAGAATTTGTAAAATATGAAAAAGAACCCCTATCAGGACTAAAAGAGCCCCCATAAGAATTCTGAAAATCTGCCTGGTATACCTTGGCATGATTCAAACTGGACTTTTCGCAAATCTGTGTAAATTATGTAATGCAAGATGATGACCAGTTTCAACATCTGAGCTGTGCAGCATCCATTTGGGAAAAAAAAGTAAAATTTAAACTCATCACTGTGTCAAAGGGACGTGTATGTGATCCACTGCATAGCAGATAGGGGAACGACTGCAAAGTGATACGAGTACCACATTAATGTAGCAGTAACAAGAGGGGGACCAAATGCGTGGTGGATACGTGGACCACTCCTTGGCACAATGGACCCCACTGCGTAGTGACAAAAGTGCCACAATAGGGATTTTTAGATTTGCAGCATCCATTTGAGAAAAAAAAGTAAAATTAATAATGGTAAGAGCAAAAGATCTGTCCTGGTGGAAAATTCCACCGGGAGGACAGCTAGAATATCAACTGGTCTAAGCTAGAATCCTGGTGCTTCATTAAGTTTAAACTCAGAGCTCCTTGGCCCTCATCACTGTGTCAAAGGGACGTGTATGTGATCCACTGCATAGCAGATAGGGGAACGACTGCAAAGTGATACGAGTACCACATTAATGTAGCAGTAAACAAGAGGAGGACCAAATGTGTGGTTGATTTTTTACCAGGTATAATGTAATGAAAGCAAAATGTATCTAAGTAATCTGGGTGAATATGTTGTGTGTTATAAATGTCTGTATTATTTTCAATGTTTCTCTATTCATTTCCTCTTCAGCGATATCCAGCACCGCCGGATCAGGACAAGGTGCATGGCCAGAACGGCAAAAGGGCCCCAATGCTCTAGGAATGCTAAAGAACGGCTAGAATACCGGGACTATTGCCGGCAGCATTGTAAGTACTGACAAAGTCTCGTCAGACTTAACAGTTAATTAGCTTAAAAAGACAATTAAGCAATTTAAAGGGAAACATTTGTGTAAAGACCACTCAAGGCAGGCAGTCTTCATGTACAGGTTCCTTGAGTTCACATTCCAATGTCAAACGCTTTTCAAGGAAACCGAAAATGCGGTCATTATAGACAGGTGGTCTTTCTATACAGGTGGTTGTATTACTCAAAATATATAGGGTCCTTGCCCTTCTTTGGGTAAAATGGATAATCCCCCTTCTTTGTTCGAGTGACATATACCACGTTTAAACAAAAAATCAAAGCTGCTAACCATGAAGATACCGAAATCATTAAAAAAAGAATTTGTAAAATATGAAAAAGAACCCCTATCAGGTTCCTTGAGTACACATTCCAATGTCATGTGGGCATTATAGACAGGTGGTCTTTCTATACAGGTGGTTGTGAAAGAAGCTTTCACTTAAACAAAAAATCAACGCTGCTAAGCATGAAGATGCCGAAATCATTAAAAATTTGTTAAAAAGAATTTGTAAAATTTGACCGGAAAACCATCAGTACCCAGACTCTTGTTATTCATAGTTTTGAGTGCATCAGTACATTCTTGTAAAGATATAAGAACATCACATTTTTTCTGCAAATCATCTGAAAGTTTGGGACATTCTATAGTATTCGACAAGAAATTATTGATATCCAGAGAAGGCGGAAGACACGATGAGTAAACTTTATCAAACTATTTTTTGGCCGCGAACAGGATATCTCTACTTGACGTCCGTTTTTTCCATCGTCATCAATTATCCTTTGCCTTTGGTTTCTCTTTTCCAAATTAATGAAATACCTTGTATTTTTTTTCACCGTATTCAACCTATGAAGCACGAGATCTGATAATTGTATCATACAGAGTGAGTCAGAAAAATGTCCCACTTTTTAAAAGTTGTATTGTTTGAAGTATGAATATTTAATAGTGGGCTTCATGATATGTCATGATAGAGATATCCTCCCAGTACATGACTGACTGAACATCAGACATTCGTTACAAGACTGCCAGATCTCACTTGCGCCAAGTTGCATGCTGGGTGAGGAATAAAATAGTCTTTTGAACAAAGACTGCCAGACAGACAACAAAACACACACACATGCTCACACACGCGCACACCCTAACGCACACACGCACACACACACACAAATGAGCATTCCATTCCTATCAAGGCGCACCCAAACTGTTATTTTTGTTGGGAATTCTTCTTTTCGTACGGAAAGTTGAGTGGCCGCTGTCCTTTTGGTGCGTATTAGCGGATGTGCGTCATGATGATGATGATGATGATGATAATGAAGATGATAATGATAATGAAGATTAAGATGATGACAATGATGATGACATGATGGTGGTAGTGAATGTGTACTAAAGGGACAGATTATCATGGTTATGCCACTTAACATTCAGCGATCTTGATTAAAAATCAAAACTCAGTAACTTGGCGCAAGTGAGATCTGGCAGTCTTGTAAAGAATGTCTGATGTTCAGTCATGCATGCAGAGATTCAAATGAAAATGATACCTAAATGTACTAGGAGGATAAAGAATGGAAAAAATCTTGTTATTTTGGCTTTTTGTATAATTTTACTTTAAGAAGAGAATATTTGATCTAGCGAAATAACCGTTAATATCTAGGCTATTATCACTAAATTACTGAGCCCTCGGTAATGTCAGGAAGGGATTCAGTCCAATTCCCTGCTAGAATCCTGTGGTGGGATCATGTTATGGTAACTCCCGAAAGAAAGACGGACGGTAGTTTTTAACAACCGGGATTTAAAGGCGTTATTCACGTAGGAGGCCATATGCCATCCCTATTTCGATGAATGCGGCCAATCTCCTATTGAAGAAATTTAAAGCTCAAAAGAAGGTAAAAAAGAAACAAACTACGGACATTGTAAATAGGATCATGCCGTATTGCAGTCCTTTTTCTACAGTAGCAGTGTGCCTTCCCTGGAAGGTACTTTCTCGAAGTATATCTCGTCATCAATTAATCATTGTGGTCATGAGCAATACAAGTCCTAAAGTGAAGAATAAGTATTTGGGTGTGGAATCATAGAACTAGTCCTGAAGTCATCATTAAGCCACTAATTGCTCCTGTTAAAGATAAAGTTGAGTTCTGGTCATGTGATTGCATTGTAATGGAACGGTGTGGAATCTATCAGAAAAGGTTGATCATCTAGTATTGAGTATTCGTGTGTATTGCAAGGTTCTGGAATCATCAAAATGATAAGAAATTTGGCCAAATCTTGGCAAAATTACAAGCACTGTACACAGAATGATGTGTATGGGATTACACGAGCACATGTCGAAAAAAACCTACCCCCCCCCCCCCCGATTTTTACGATGTTTCATGTCATATTTAGAATCTAAAGGTATTTGAAGAGCCATGCTTAATTTTCAGGGAACATGTTTAATCTGATGTTCTTCCACCCTTGCATAATAACAATGATAACGCTCACAAATTATTTTTTACCTCTTCCCAGAACTCAACCTTCTCTTTAAGGGCCATGCTGGGCTTTGGTCTACTAAATGATATGGGTGTTGATGAATGGTAACTTAAATGTTTTGTTGTAGGAAGAAATAGACTGGAGCAGTAATTACATATGCTTGAATGTAGGCTACTCCTAGTATCTCTAGTACGAATAGCAAGACAAAAATAGCAAAGATTGGTATGCTAATCATTAAGCTAGAGGAGAGCAATCATATAGCTGTCGAAAGAAAGATTAACAAATGCCCTGTTTTAAGGTTAGCAGCAAGTCGTTGGCCCACAGCTATAGGTTGCGGGAATAGACTAAGTGCCTATATTCACACCGTCAAAGGTATTAGAGCACTTGGTGCTCCCTGCAAAACTTAGTGACTCAGACGCCTGTTAAATGCAAGGTGGAAATCCCAGTCTGTAAGTCAAGGATATATGTGGCTTGTAGCTCTAGACTGGCCTAAAACACTAACAGAAAAAAATATTATTAACACCCTGTTGTTATGAGCCTGCCCAAGGTGTATAGTTTGGGATCTTGTTTTCTGTAAGATCAGTTCTAATGTGTTCTCTCGAAAACTAAGTCAAATGGACTGGAATCGAGAGGGGCCCATTTTTAGGGTAAACAAATACAAGTCAAGATATGCCGAACACCATGGAAAATATGTTCATAAGAATAAAAAATAAGGTCTCTGGAAAAAACTGACCCCAAATTCTTGCTGTTACAGTCATTGTCAAGCTGTATAGTCTGCCTTATAGTTAAAGATGATTGGTTTGAATTGCTGGATGATGGTGAGCTGTTTAATAACAAATAACAAGGTAATTAATACAAAAATTCAAATGAGGAAAAACAATGATGGATCAAGATTTTAATACACGGACTACAAATTAGTCCTACAGTTTGCCTCTTGTATGGTACCGACCTCAGACATTACTTTAGGTAATCTTCGTTTATTGGAAGTTAACCAACTGGTCCTCTCAATATAAAACCCCTTATTTAAGCCCATATGAGTTCTAGTTTCCTCTGCAGACGTCTTGCACTCCTGAGCTGTTCCCTCTTGGAGTGAAGATGGACGCAGTCCCATGCAGGACAACTTGATCAGACTACATTCTTTGTGGCCCGAACAGGACTATTTTTATATGGACAATGCGCCGAGATATGGAGGGCGAATCATAGGTTCATGCCAATTGTTATATAATCCGTACCATTTAATACCTTTGAAAACTTAGTTGCTCAATACTTATAAGAATACCGACCCTTGATTAGCTTTAGTTTAAAGCAGGGTGATTTTTAAAAGTTTTAGGCTTGAACCAAAACTTTCTAAACTGAAATCAGAGGTTCTTCTTAAGATAACTCCTTAAATGATGTGTACTTTACAATAATTATTGTAGAAGGTGTTTCATTGAAGGTGTGGTGATCAGCAGGGGGAAATGAGGTATATTGTACATCGCCCAAGTGAGACGTGCGAAATCTGGGGTGATCCCTTTCCGTTGAGAGGCGAGGGATTCTCAAATTAAGAAAAGGATAAAATAGCATCGCTACCACAGAGATGATTGACCCAATCAAGGAGACAGTGTTCCAAAGTGTATAAGCGTCTGGGTAGTCTTGAGTATCGCCGAGGCATCCCAGCCAGCCCTATAAAGTGTCGAGGGATATCACTCCCAACAAGCATTAACAAGAATGGACCTATATCCCCCATAGTGTGTGTAGGCTGTATAGCCAGAGAATAATGGGAGTCAGTGAGTGAACCCAGCAAAGATTGCAAATACAGCTCCTATTGAAAGAACATAGTGAAAGTGAGCCACTATGTAGTAGGTATCATGAAGAACAACGTCAAAGGAGGAATTGGCAAGAACAATACCTGTAAGTCCTCCTAATGTAAATGAGAATACAAACCATGAGGCCCACAGAGTTTCTCATTGTAGGTTAGACCCCTGGAGCATTGCCATTCATCTGAAAACCTTAATCCCTGTCGACATCTATTTCCACTGTAAATATATGATGGGCATATAGACAAGGAAATCTAATACTCCAATTACAATCATGGCATAGACCATCCCGAGGTATCCAAAGGGTTCTCGCTTTCCAGAGTGATGAGCTATATATAACGTGTAAAATCATACCAATTCCTGGTAAGCTAAGAATGTACACTTCTGGATGGCCAACAAACCAGAATAAGTGCTGGAATAGGATTGGATCCCCTCCCCCTGCTAGATCAAAGAAAGTTGTGTTTATGTTTTTGTCTGTGAGAAGCATGGTAATCGCCCCTGCCAACACTGGAAGAGATAGAAGGAGTAACGGAGACAGACAGACCTGACAAACAAACAAGGGAAGACGGTCAAAAGATATCCCTGGTGTTCGTATATTATTGTTATAAATTGAATTGAGGCCAAAATAGAAGAGGCACCGGGAGGTCAGCAGATCCCCCGGCATGCGCTATATTTTACAAGAAAGAGGGAGGGGGGGGGGTGGTAAATA